ATAATAATAATAACAATAATAATAATAATTAATGTAATTGAAAAGGAGATAACAAAGAGAGAGAGGACTAAAACCCAAGACAGACAAGCGATGCACACTACAATTGCTTACTGCCCACTGACTGGTGCCCAGCCAATCTCCAAGCAGCAATGGGCCCCTCCTGGCCAGCTCCCCCAGTTTATATACTGGCCATGATGTTCTATGGTATGGAATATCCCTTTGGCTATTTCGAGTCAGCTGTCCTGGTTACGCTCCCCCCCAGCTTCTTGCGCACCTCCTCATTGACAGAGCATGAGAAACTGAAAAGTCCTTGACTTAGGGTAAGCGCTACTTAGCAATAACTAAAACATCAGTGTGTTATCCACATTATTCTTGTACTAAATCCAAAACCACAGCACTGTACCAGCTACTAGGAAGAAAATTAACTCTATCCCAGCCAAAACCAGGGCAATCATGCATATTCAAATACTAATAATTTGATTGTCCCTTAGGGTATTACCTTCTAATTTATCTTACAGTATATACTTCTACACTCTTTTTTCCACCCAGCTGGATGAAAGCTGGTTCACTAGTTATCCCTGCACTGAACGCTGCACCTGCAAGGCTAATAACACCATTATATGCACATCCTGGGAGTGTGGAGTCCGAGAGGAATGCAGTATTCAGGATGGTGTACTGGGCTGTTATTCCAATGGTAAGTTCTGCCCAAAAATGGTTCTCAATGTCAATTCCATAATTAGAACCTTCTTCTCCTTCTAGTTTTATTAAAAATATTTTTTCATATGTGATGGCAAAGAAGTCCCAACTGACTGCTGCCAGTGCTAAGACATGAAAAGACATGATCATCTGTCTTGCAAGCACAGATTCCTTTCTGTTGTAGTCAATACCGGGAAAAACTGACACTGCCCTAAAGCTTGCATGGTCACTTGGGTTCTTTCTGTCTTGATATTACAAGTTCAAGTCCCGTATCACCAGTGCTGCAAGCTCTAAATTTGGGAATAATTGAGAACTGCATTTCTGAGAGTCTGGGTGATGGCAAGTGCATTAAATATCCATGTATATAGATGCAAATTTATTTACTTTTATATTGACATCTATATTTATACATATAATTATATATTTTTATACAGCTAAGTAGAAAAGCTCTGCATTACACTCAACTACCATAAATCATAGGTACAACAGCATATAGAAATGTATAAAGAGGGTCATTTGCTGCCAAGTTGCCGGTTTGTACATAATTTGCAAATTAAATTTGGAAGACGCTTTCTGGAAATGTCTTATTTCTAAATAAATGTCATTGGTATGAACCTGAGATACCTCTGTGAAGGTTTGCTTACATAATAATGATCAGGATTAGGTTGCTGCACTAATGCAAACATCTTTGGTCAGCTTAGTCCATGGTGAAATCCAGTCCAAAGTTCTTAGATCATTTTTTCACCTTCAGGCCAAGCAATATGTCAAGTGGCAGGAGATCCCCATTATTTCACTTTTGATGGAATGATGTACACTTTTGTGGGTACATGCACCTACACCTTGGTTGAGGTTGTCAACACCAACAGTGTCATTCCTATAACCATCCTTGGTAAGAATGAAGACAGAGGACTAAGAGGGGCCACATACCTGAAAGAAGTCTACATAGATGTGTATGGTGTACGAATCACCCTTCAGAAAAGCCAAGGAATCCTGGTAGGTGGTGGTGTTCTTTATTCTTGCAAGAAGTATCTTAAAATTAGCTCACTACAGCAACTGTAGGAAAAAGGATCTTCATGGTTCCTAAGGAATACATACACCTTTGCTTAATACTTGTGGGCACCTCCATTAACTGGATATAATGGAGAAACGCCATTTCTCACTAGTTCCCAAGGCTTCTGGTTTGGGTTTCCTGTTCTATTAGCAGTATCTTGGAGATGGAGCCCAGAGCCTCCAGATTGGAGAATTGTTGGCTGAACTAAAGAATGGGGCTCCCCACTTCAATAGCTGTTGTCACCCAATCACCTATAGCTAGGTAACAAGAGCAGAGGAAAAGCAAGTCATACCATATTGGTCTAGAATAGCAGAGGGATCCATGGCAGTACTGGAGGCAGGGAATCCACCCTGTGGGTGGGTAAGAGCTTGCTTACTACCAGGGAACTTTCCAGCTCCCTGTTAAAGGCACAGGGTATGAGTCCTGCCCAGCTCTCCTCAGCTAAAAGGCTGATTCCCGCAACCCATAGTTGGAATATGCAATGGTAGAAGCATAAAGGAGTTTAAACTGTCATGGAGAAATCTTCAACACTGCAAGGAATATAGATTGTGTGCAGAAAAGCTTTCATGGAAGAACATCCATGCTGACAAATGACATTGAAATGACATCTCTCCAGTTGAACAGTGAAAAAGTCTACACTCCAGTGGAGAACCGTTTGCGAGGTGTGTCCATTGGAAATGTTGGCAGATTTATAGTAGTGGAAACTGACTTTGGTGTGATAGTGAAATACGATGGCAATCACCATCTGGAAATCACCCTCCCACAGTCTTATTTCTCAAAGGTAAGATTTAGTATGTAAACATCTGGCACTGTTTCAAAACCACTGCTTTGTGTGTTTACTTTTAATTTCTATTGTTCCTGTGTTTTGCTATTGCATCTTTCTTTGCAGCTGTATTGTAACACATGTCATTTTTTTCCTTTCAATTTTTTTTCTCTTCACAACAATTTCCTTGTGTTACAAGGGGGTGGTTAAAGAAAATGACCTGGCTAGGGGAACACATTCAGCTTGTAGAATTAAATGCCTTGAAGCCTTAGGGAACCACAGATTTACTGCAGTTTCTATTTTATTTCTCCATGAATGCAGTCAGACACTAGCGAGTATGTCTGAAAAGTCTGGGACAAGATTAGGTGGTGGTGGTGACTTGGTCACATCATTTCATAGGCAATGAATAAGAAGTTATTGGGGAAGCTGATGTAGAACAGATTGTGCTAGAATATGGTTCTTGTTCATTTGCAGGTACATGGCATGTGTGGTAACTTCAATGATAATCGTGAAGATGATCTCTCTTTGCCCAATGGTACACTCGTCAGTGTCACACAGTTTGGAAATAGCTGGAAAGTAGAGGAAGACAGTGAGGAAGGGTAAATGTGACTTCTTTCTGTACCTTCCATCTTCCTTCAGGAAACAGTCTCCTTTCAATTGTTTTGACTGTTTGTTACTTTGTTACATATAAGTAGTGCATATGAGACTTTTCTTGAATTTGAAGCTCAAAAAAAGGCATAACCACAGGAAATCACTGCACAGGCCAAAGGGAAACCACAGCCGTTCTATTGATCTACATATACACTTGGGGTATTAGGCTTTGGGGCAGACCACAGCACGGACATAGCCTCTATTTATTTTACACTGAAAACACCTAGAGCAGGATGATAGTGTTGGGAAACAGTGAAGGCTACCTGCTCCCTAAGGTGCAGGGAGCCAAGTGTGATAATACAGCTGAGAGAACAGTGGCCTCACCAGCCAGGGCCCATCCCACACTACCCAAGCAAGGCAAGTAGGGCAGGCCCAAGGGTGGAAGCCAGGGTCAGCCAAGAGTCCAGATCACCACACAAGTTTGCAGTGATGAGACAGGTCTGAGGTCAAGCTGAGAAGTCAGTCCTCTAGTCAGGGTCAAGTTCAGTAAGAGTAACAAGGGTCAGACACAGCATGGTGATTGCCAAGCAGGTCTACTTCTGCCTAATCTTTCACTCACAGACAGAAAGAAGACTGTAGACTCTAGCGTTATTTGTGTAATACCTGTCAGTATAAACAAGCCTTTCAGTTTCAGTCTCTGTCTTATATATGCCTTTGATACTTAAATGCAGCTGTCTGTGCTTTCATACAGTTGTTTATCAGACTTAAGAGAAGATGATGGTCCTCCTTGCACTGCTGAGAATAAACCAGTCATTGAAAGCCAGTGCAATGTCCTAAAATCAGACAAATTCAAAGCATGTCATAATCTAGTCAAGCCTGAAGACTTCATACAGATCTGCATCTATGACATGTGCCAGTATGACGGCATGAAGTCCACTCTCTGCGATATAGTTCAAGTCTATGTGGACACCTGCAGGAATCATGGAATCACCATTAAATGGAGGAATAGCACATTCTGTCGTAAGTGCATGTCACGTTAAGAGTATGAGTCTAACATGTGGCTGGGAATGCACTCCTGTTGAGTTGCGAGATTCAGAAAGGACCCCCTTGCTTTCTAAACCCCTTCACAGAGAGGAGTCTAGGTGCGGCTGGATCCAATCCTAGTGCCAGACTTGGTCAACAGTTTATGTCTAAAGGACTGTGTGTGTAGCCACTTACCAGAGTCAACATTTGTCTGTCAGAGTCCTCTTAAGGACCTTCACTGAACAGTCTCAAGATTGGCCTGTCAGAGCCCTCTCAAGGAGTTTCACTGAAACAGTTTTGCAAAGTTGAAAAGATGAATGACTTATTAAAGCAACACGTATAACAAGTTTGGAATAGCCATTGATAAATACACTTACCGCAAAAATTGAGCTCAAGTTAACAGTTCAGCACTTTTTGTTATCAATACTTTCCTGGGTAACATCTGACAGAGTCAGACATGCAAATCCTATCAAAGAGGTGTACCTGCTTGAGGAGGAGAGAAGTTCAGGCCCAACAACCCATGCTGTCATTGGAGTTCTCATCCTCAAAATAGAGGATTCTAAATGCCAGATTTATACTCTTGGCAAGGTGGGACTAAGTCAATAATCGTGGTCTGGTTGGCTCTTGACAAGGGTTGTAAATTCTGCAATATCGGTGAGGCCCGATGAGTCAGTATGGGGGGAGATTCAGCGCAGATGTGCGGGAGGGAGTCTTCCTAGCTTTTTAGTGAAGCAACATAGGGCTATAAGACCTTCGCCACACCCCAGGTGTCACTCAGTCAAGTTGAGTGCCAGACCACATCCACCAGACCACATCTGTCATGTCTGCTTTGCAAGATAAGCATGTTGCTCCAGCCTTGCAAGATAAACATGTTGCCTAAGTCAGCTCCCGCTACTCCCTGCTGACTAATGGAGACCTCTGCATTCCTCTCTAACAAGCCCGATGTCCCACAGTGCACAAGCAAGTGAAAAAACTGAAACTTGGATGGCTGATAGCATGAAAACAAATTAGTAGTATTAGGTGAACAAGTTATATAAAAGAAAACTAAACCCAAATTCTCACAAAATGCAATTCTATTATTATGTTTTTATGACTCCATTGTTGCACTGAACTGTGTTCAGGTTGAGTTAAACCCAGTGAAAACTCAGGACTAGAGAAGTTATGGATAGTAATGTGAAGTTAGAATGGCTTTAGTAGCCAAATGAGTGCCATGAGATATTGCAATAAGCCTAAAATGGAGAAATAACCAGAAGACTAAACCAAAGTGGGATACTGTGTTAGGACACAGGGTTCAGTGCCACTCACTGGTTTTGAAGGAAAACTGGCAATTTGGCCAGTTGCTTACTAAGGGCTACATTCTTGGATTAATTTTCAGTGTATGATGTGCCTCATTCCACCCATTCAACAAGCTACAAACAAATTATGTAAAAATGAGTAGAGATTACACAGTGGGTTTCTTTTTGATTTTTTTTTTTTTTTTTTACACAATTCAGTATTACATTGTGGAATTAATTATTGGATAATGTTGTGATGGACAAAACAATTAACTGGTTAAAAACCAAGCCAGATGAACGTTGAATAGGTCCATCAGAAATTCCTAATTGCCTCCTTGCCACGAGTGGAGGAAAATACTGGACAAACAAACCCTGTGCCCTGCTACCCTGTTTCTTGAACTGTCCCGTTATGCATCTGTAGTCATTGGCAGAATTAGGGTATAGAGCTAGATGAATTTTCAGTTTGACAATGCATATCTGTTGTTCTTGCATGCGTTCATGTCTGTGTTTTGCATCACTGGAGGGTTGAACATTCTAAGGAATTTGCCCTAAAGGTTCTCATTTCTAGCAGTGCGCAAAGAGGCATTTGCAGCTGAATTGGAATACTGAATCTGAATGAACAAGTGCCATCAGTTCAGACGTCTCTGTAATAGAACTGAATCAGCAGGTCCAGAGAGGGTTCTCTGTTTTGTTCTCATTGTTTTTTTAAATAAAATATAAAAAAATCAAAACTAGTTGGTGATCAAAATCAGCTGTTAAAAGGCAATTCTATACTACCATTTTATAGGCCAAGTTGTAGCTTTCAGGCAAGCACATGTGTTTGCAGTGCACTTTCTAAATGTATTTAATAACACTGGTTCTATTCTCTTCACCCACACAGCATTGCCCTGTCCATCTCACAGCCATTACACAGACTGTGTCTCCATCTGCCCATCAACATGCAATGATATTTTTGCCTCTTCCCTTTGTGAGAAGACAGAAGAGTGCACGGAGGGCTGTGAGTGTGATGATAATTATGTGCTCAGTAATGGCAAGTGTGTACCTCTGAGCAACTGTGGCTGCAGGGATGATGATAACAATTACTACAGCGTAAGTAGTTTGTTTACGGAGCAAATCTCTGGCTGCAAAAGCTTGTAGAAAGTTGATCTCCTGTCCATCTGACCGAGAGATAGAGAAATCTTCAGGGTCTACCTCTTAAGTATCTTTCATCTGATTAGTTAAATCTGCAGGCTCAGGTATTAGGAGACACAGGAGCTTGGTACTTCACACCTGGGGTCAAAATTGAGGCACATTCGAAACTAGTCAAATGATCAGAGTTATTCAGGCAGTCTAGCCTAGTCCTGTTTTGTGTTAAAGTTCTCATGTCAAAGACAATAAAATAAATGGACTGGGATCCCCCCTCCCAGACTGTTGGTGAGACTACATCTGAATTGAGCAGTTGTGGAATTGCCAACTGGACAGGTTGCACCTAGCCAGCCCCCACACCCTTTGCTATTGAACTTTTATTGCATTGCAAAGCCGAGCACCTTGATAACATATTATTAACACACCTTTTGTCCAGGCTGGGGAGACCTGGATAACTCCACACTGCACCAGAAGATGCCAGTGTCAGAAGAATGGTGTCATCACATGTAAGAGCTATAGCTGTGATTCTAAAGAAACCTGCGTGAACAAAAATGGAAAACACAAGTGCAATCCAACAGGTATGTGCAGGCAGGTCTTCTCTTCTTGTTCTATCAGGGCTGGAGAAGGAAGAAGGATGTGGGTGTCCATTCTTTCTTCCATGGCACTTTCAGTCTTTTCCACAGGGAAAGAAGGCAGCTCTGACAGTGCTATTGATGACACATTATTGAACATAAAAAGGCCTCAGTTCTCAGAATAGAAAGTTCCAGTACAAGAAAGCGAATTTGTAGAGGGAAGTGGAACAAGAGTTAGAAAATTTATTTACATGTAGAAATTTGACAGTTCAGTCTGACTAGTTGAAATAAAAAAAAAAAAAAGAAAAAAGAAAAAAGTTTTGCACTGCATCTACCAAAACCAAAACTCAGATATGTCTGTGAATCCTTTGGCAATGATCCTGTTTTTTCCATTGCATGTTGATTTGGGAACAGAAAAAATGAAGGCAAAACAAGACAGAGCAGATCTGAACAGATACGTAACAGGCCAGCCAGAGAACTTTGGTGATTTTTGTTCAATAGTTGCTTTGGCTAAGCAAAGTTAATCCTATATTCTCTAGGTAAATTGGATTGTTTAGGATATAGCTTGTGCCTAGTGACTCTACACTTCAATTTTGAAGAATAGTATGGCATAGGTCCTACTGTATTGATGATCAGTACAAGAGCATAATGTAAATCCAGCTTCCCCCTGCTCCGTTTTGACAAAGTATCATCGCAGAGGCACCACAGCAATCTTGGTGCCAGAGCCTTGCCCCTGGGATAATGGTTTGCTCTGCACCCAGTGGTCAAGGAGAATACTTAGATGATAGTCACTGCATGTGATTGTTATGTCTGGTGAATCTAATGATCAATTTAGTAACCTCAGAAGAAATCAGTGTGACAGCAGTAAGCCAGCCAAAAATGCACACTGCTTTTCATGTTCCAATAATTGTGCAGCACCACATTGCTAAGGATTATGAAACCGACATGTCTCAGAGTCACACTGCAAGCCACGCTTTGTGGTAGTCATTCCTTTGCAGAGGATCAATGTGCACAACTTAGTGTCTATAAAGCCTATAAATGCTAATGTTCTGCTTCAGTTCAGTTGACTCACACAGGTTCTCAGCAGAGGAATGAGTTTCTCTGGCTGTCTCTCCATATGAGTGCCCATTCACTAGGGTGATGCCCGAGCACCCATTTTAAGAGACCTGCATGCTAGCAGCAATTTTTTTATCTAACTTTTTTTAAACTGATCCATGTGTAGGATCTGGCATATGCACACTCAGACTGGAGAGTAATGAAGCTCTTCCCCTTTAGGTTTTGGGAAATGTCGGATCATGGGCGACCCACACTACACCACCTTTGACGGCCTGGTGCACCACTTTCAAGGGAAATACACATATATTCTGGCTCAGACTATCCCTGGCCTACCTGATACTCTGACGCAGTTCAGCATTGAAGGCATGAACTATCCTCTTCCTCGAGGACGACACATTACTTACCTCAAAGAGATTCTCGTCAATGTTTACAATCACACAGTGCGATTCAGGCAGAACAAGCAGCTTGTGGTAAGTCTCTCATTGACTGCAGAGCACGGAGAAAGGCCCTCCTTTGGAGTAAAACACCTTTGAATAATCAATGTCTGTTTTGAACAATTTAAGTATTAAAGCTAACTGTATTATTACAGCAGTGCTATGGGGCAACCACAAATGTGATTTTCAGTTGTGCTGAGTCTTTTTTCTCTATAGCTATGAAGGATATAAATCTACTTCAAACAAATAAATGAATAAATAGAGATTTAGCAATAAAACACCAAATATCCCAATACTTACAATAAAGCCATACAAATTTTTATCACTGGTAGGGAGAAGAAAAGTGTGAATTATGCTAGGAAAACTTCATTTCTTTCCCCTTTATTGGTGCATAAGAGTATACATAGCTCATATATACATTTTTAACTCAGTAATAGAAATCTCTTAGGATGATGTGAAAATACCGTGTTCAGATCACTTTCCTCAATACATGACTTTGTTAACTTTAAAAAATTGAATACTAAGTTTTTTACCTGGTTAAATTATCTAGTATATTTATTATAAAACCAGAGAAGAAGAGTGTTCATTTGTAGCATTGACCTGTACTGGAGCCAGATTTGAACTTGGCCTATATATTATGAATTTTAATTTATTCAAAAAAATGGATGGTGTGAGGGTGATACCCCCTGTTCATCCTCATGAAGGTATTCGTATATATCAGAGGATAACAAGAATTTACCTGGAGACAGATTTTGGCTTATACCTGAGCTTTGATGGCAATCAAAATGCAGGTAAGTGATACTAAGACAATGTACAGGAATATTTATACGCTGTCTCAAAAAATGTTCTCATCCAAAGGAGGTCTAAACCCAAGACAATATTAGAAACCTTCATTCTTTGAGCCTATGGCCCTTTGTGAGGTGAACTTCCAGAAAATTAAAACAAAAAGTGTTTCCCAGGAACAAGAAAAACCATAAAGCTGGCATTTCTTTATCTGGATCCACCTGAATTTATGAGAAATGAGATGTAGAGTCAGACTGTTCTGCTTTTTTCCATGTTAAGTAAGGCCTGAGTGATAAAAATGAAAGCAAATCACTTAAAATTGCTGATGAGAATGATGGAGTGAAGTCTGGATCTGCCCCCTTTGCCAGCTTAACCCAGGCACAGGACTGAGGTCCTCAAGCTATAAAGCTGTGAATGTGTCCTTTTACATGCTTCCTCTCAAACCTATTCCAGATAATCCCATTCTTTAGTGTTTTTTAGTGGGACTTTTATATCACATATACACAAGTCATTCATGTAAGCTGAACACGTTACCTACTCTGTTCAAAGCAGAGTTACTCCTGATTTACAACAGAATATAGCCATGTTATTCTGAGTGTAAGGTGAAAAGTGCCAGGCCATTTATACACATCCATCATCTGAAACCCTAAAATTCCAACTGCAGAAAGAAAAGGTCTGTTTTATAGGAATTCTGTTTCTCAACAAGCAAGTGGATTGCAAGTGAAGGGCAAAAAGTGGGTGGTGCATTCAATTTGTTGCTAAGCAGTAAGCAGTATGCACCAAGAGCACTCAAGTGCTGATATCATGTTGTGTGATACCTTATTGGCTGCAAGAAACTACTTTTTTCATGATCCGTGTTGCAGAACACAGAAACAGTCCTGTGAATACATGTATGTTCAGGGCTGTGTTCATATCCTATGTATGAGGTCCATGTCACATTACCAACTCCAATCTGAATCTTGAAATGTGGTACTTGGCATTGCTTTCCACCTCTTCCATACACTCGGAAGCAAAGATTTCTGTAATGGCTTTTTTTTTCTTCTGAATTTCCCTAGATATAAAGTTGGCCAACACCTACAGAAGCAGAGTAGAAGGCTTGTGTGGTGACTTTGATGGGAGATATAGAAATGACTTCACGAATCCAGATGGTGTTTGGGTGAAGAACGTGAATGTATTTGGTGAGAGCTGGAAAGTTCCTCTGAAAAGAACAATCTCTCGTCTCAGGTACTTAATTTTCTACTTAATATCCATGGCAAGCACAGCCATTGGAAGTGAGTGAATTAATATCCAGGAATAACTACAGGGACTATTCCTGTGCATCACTGAGGTGAAATATCAGTGCCCTTCTATCTAGCCGAAAGAGGCCTGAACTATCACTGCATTACTCCAGTTCAGTATCCCCCTTTGGAGTCACAGCCATTACAACTGCTAGGGCACAGGGACAAATAAGATCTTTGCAAAGCTCAGGGTTCCTGGCAAAGATAAATATATCATGTTGTGCTGGATGGGCCTGAGGGAAGGCAAATTCTGGTTCAGTGTCATCCCTCCCCCTGGAACACGAAGGTAGCTTTGAAATCCATTAAGATGAATTCACGATTCCTCCCAGCAGAGGTTCTTGAAGAGTCTGATTTCCTTACTTTCATGGCTATCTAGTGTTTTCTGCCAGTACACGAAAAGGACATTATTCTGAGTATAAATCAGCATGATATTTGTGGTCAGGCAAATTCTGTGCTAATTATTCCATACAGAACATTGAAACAGGTAAGGAAATAAGCTTCCTTCCTTCCTTCTCAATTTGCTTTGAAAGTCCTTTGGACGTTGCTTAGCCACTAACACAGAACTTTTTCAGCAAGTAAATTGAATTGTATTAGCTGGCAGGATACAATTTGGCTGCAAAAATTTGTCTGCCAGAATAGTAGAAAGCAGTATGTAGGCTAGCATTGAGCATAAAGGAGCTCTAGAGGCTACACTTAACAGGAGAATTCTGGCACTTCAGGCATGCAGCCAGTTGTTCAGTGAAAGTGAGCACATGTCCAAGAAATAGTGACCTATTCCAGCTGCATCATTCTGACTAATGTTCAAGTTCAATTGAATAGATTGGATAAAGGAGGCATTGGATGAAGCCTGTGTCATGCAGAATTTCCAGAGAGATAATTACAGATATCCCTTTTGATTTAAATACCCATAAATATCTGACATGGTAGGAAGTGTTCTAGTACATCTTTGAATTGCTTTATCTGTCTCCTTCCCATTCAGGATAAATCATAAGAGAGAAATAAGCTTACATTTACACCACAAAGCAGAAGTACTCTTGTGGTGTTACTTAGAGAGTAGTACTATCAATGCTGGATGCACAAAGAACTGACGGTTTCATAATGATTTCATTTACAGACGAGATATCAACTCAAAAGTTGAGTCTGAGGAAGAACCAGATCCAGGGCTCTTCCAAGGCTGCAATGAAAATCAGCTGGGGCAACAAAACAAAACTTCAAGATGTCAAATCCTGATTGACTCAAATAGTCCTTTCATAAACTGTCATTCTGTGGTCTCACCAAATTTCTATTTCACGTAAGTGTCTACTGCAGACAGTTTTTCTCTGCATTTGCAAAATCATTTTGGCACTAGTTTCTGACAAGAACTTTGCATCTTCAGTCTCCAGGGTATTAATTGGAACTGAGGATAGTAAGTGTCTTTGGAGAACTGGGCCCAGTGATTCCATTACTGATATATTTAAATCCCCTTATTTATTTTTCAATAATTGTGATGATCTGTCTTTCCATCTATTTAGAGTTTCACTTTTCTGTTAGCTCTAGAAAGTAGCTTTCCTCTTTTCCTACACAAAAAAAGCAGCAGTGTTAAGCATTATACTTGTAATCTGGGATTTCCAGTGTGCTTACAGTTCTCATCCACATTCAGTGAGAATTTAGTACCTGGCTCTATTAGTATTTTCTTTTAGCAATTCTACCTTCATAAAATCTAGCCTTCATGCTACAGCCACAAAGGCTGAAGCTGTCAGTGACATTTCTTGAATCTTTCTTGGAGAAGTGCAAAAAAACGGATTAGTGCAGAGTCACTAACCTGGTATCTTCAACAAAGTTCCCTCTCCTGTGTTTCAAGGCTGCTCTGGCCTCCTACATATACAGTTCCTACACGCCTAATTTTGAGCTGTGTGAAACCTTTTGATTCACCTTCATATTCATCATTCATCTATCATCAGTCACAAAATTGCCAAGTCACTGCCAGTTTTCTTTAGTCATATAGCTGTACCTAATGTTTAATGATAGATAATGCCCACTTCAAAGTCCCTCTTAGCTGTGAGAAGAATGTGAAGGTATCTTAAGCCAAATAAACTGGACCACTGGCTTCAACGTATGTATCCTGATTCTTAACATAAGCCTATTTGTCTCCTTACTCTAGCATTTGGTTGGGCAGCCTGTTCTACCTTCTTAGTGGCTGCCTGAATTTTCTGAGGTGCTGCACACTTGCAGATCCCATTCATCTCAGATCTCAATGCCTCTGAAAATCAGGCCATGGATAGTCAGATGATGAGCAAAGCTGAGAAGGTAGCACCGGCAAACAAACACCGGGTACAACAGAATTCTGTGTCAATATTCAAGGCATATGGACACAAGGAGGGCACCCATTTATTGAAAGAAGTGTGTAGTTCAGCTATAAGACTTAGCAGCACTAAAAAGTGCTCTATAAGCAAAATGTAGCCATGCTAGCCCAAAACAGAAGCAGACAACAAAGAATAACTTACTGTGACAAGCAGTCAGGTACCTCTTTATTGCTTGTTCATATATGAACACCTCGCATGTTAGCAGCAGCTGCACAACAAATGACCTGATCTTCCCAGTCCTGTGGCTGCAGCTTTTTTTATTCCTCTGTTTTCCTGTCAGCCAGATAACAGGAAAACAGAACTAACTCTGAGTCAGGCAGAAAAGCAGCTGAAAATAAACAATAACAAAGGTATTGGAAATTAATGGTTTTCTCCTGTTGCACATAGGAGCTGCCTGTTTGATATGTGTGTGGAAGGAGATCAGGATGCTACCTTATGTCGCAGTCTGGAGGAATACGTGCTGGCTTGTCAGCAGCAAGGAGTCAGTATGGAAGGCTGGAGGCAACAGACAGTTTGTGGTAAGCACAGGAAGAACCAGAAAGTATGGTTTCTGCCTAAAAGACTCTCAAAATCTGAGATTTGAGGCTTTTCCTAGATGCACCATATATCAAAGCTTCTCAGGGAGTAAAAGCATGTTGATTCATGCTTCAATCACTATTCGCAGTTTAGCACACACACGTGCTCTTTCTGGCCTCTCTTCTGCATTCTATGCTGACTTTTGCATTTAGAGCCCAGCTCAGAAAGCTACTTAGGAAAGCAGAGCTCTCGGCTCCTCCATCACCACAAGTTTTGTGAGAGAAAAAAAGTCCCCATTACCAACTGGGCAAAAAAAGTTAAAATTTTGGAGAGAAGCCACAAATCTGAAGGAAAAACTTTTCATTTGAATCTCTTTTTAAATCTACAAAATATACTAATTTTCTTTTTTGCCTGTGAAATTTCAACATAAAAAATATTCAGCTGAAAACTCCAAATCTTTCAGACTAAAAAATGCTGAAATAAAACTTAGAATAATCTCAAACCTTTTTTTCCTGATTTATTTTTTTTTTTCAAGTTGGGAGACTCATCAAACCATACTTCCCTTGCATCAGCCATGGTTAGATGACTTTATATTCCTGGTGAAACACAGGTCCCAGAGTTGTGAAACAGCTCTGGTAGTTGGAGGGATGGCTACCCTAAATGCGTGAGAAGTTATTTGAGATCAGTGAAGACCAGAATGAGAGCACAGCATCCAAATAGTTTGATGATGCATTTTCTGACTTTGGAGTGCTTTACTTATGACTTCAGTACTATTATATATGTATGCACATTTCTGTGTATATGTGTTCAACATATTGCCTCCTACAAAATGGTAACGTCCTCTGGATCTCAAAGAACGTTGCGTAAGTAATGCACAGCAGCCTGCTATAACTGGACTCTCCTTATTTTTACAGGTATATCTTGTCCTGCTAACAGCAAATACAGCTCATGTATATCTGCATGCCCAGCGTCCTGCAGCGACTTGACCAGTCCCTCTGAGTGTGAATCACCTTGTCTTGAAGGCTGTGAATGTCTCCCTGGCTATGTTCTCAGTGGTTTTGACTGCGTGCCTTACAAACAATGTGGCTGCACATACCTTGACAAATACTATGAGGTACAGTCACTCTGTGGGTCAGAGAGCTCCCACAGCAGCAATCAATATTTTCTACTGCTAATTATTTTGACAATCTCTTCATTCTCCTCAGCATGTAATTTTGTATTAGAAACAAAGCCCAATTGTTTAATAAAATTCTGGTCTCTGGAGGAAGGGAACAGAGAGTAGAATTGGCTACGATATGAAGAGAGCCCCAAGCAAGACTGGATTCTGAGGAACACGGAGAATCCTCCATTGTCACTGCGGGACAGAACAGCTTCATAATCTCATAGATTTCTGTTTTAACACTAGAGATTTGGTACAGAAAAGGCCTAAGCCAGTAAAGATTGTTTTATGGGAGGAGGGAGACACTTACTATGAACAGGTGGCACTTGCCAGAAAAATGGCACATAGCATTTCCACATTGCCTTGGAGGCATGATGTGATGCATCTGCCACTCTCTTATCTCCAGCAAATTAGACATTGTTGATTGTCCATATACTGCACCTGGGGCTAGGATCTCATACCCCAAACTCTTCTTTTGCCTTCTTTCTTGGGCCATCCTTGAGTTTCAAAGAGCTGGATTAGTGAGTTGCTTGCCTTCTTTTTTGAACAAACTACTAAAAAAAAAATCTGCCCTGTTGCCATTCATCAGGAAGACATCACAGAGAGTAGCATAGGGCCCAAGTTCTCCATTCATGGTTTTTCTGGCTGATTTGATTTTTTTTTTTAACATTTAACTGCTGTCTTCCAGATTGGAGAAATATTCACCACTGATGATTGCTCTCAGAGATGCCAGTGCACAGAAAGCTCCAGTGTCTCCTGCTCTGACATAGTGTGTGGATCTGATGAAATCTGTGGCATTTCAAACTACAGTCGCGGATGTTACAGGAGTGAGTCAACCACTTTAACATTGTCTTTGATGCTAAGAAGTCTTGACTTACTGCTTATAGGACACCACTGGGTTGGGGATAGTTGCAACAGAGCTTGTACAGAAGAAAACCATAGCAGGGATCTTTGATGTTTCATTGTAGAAACAGTGTTTCTTTCCCTCATTGCTGTTGTTAAGTACAAGTATTGTGCCTTAAAATACAGGGAACGTCCAGCATTAGGAGTCAATGTAATCTAAGCAAGAACAGTTCTCTCAGGGTTGGATTATCTGAGAATCTGAAGTGTTTTTCCTTCCTTTGTGCTAGGTGGACCATGTATGCCAAACCCTTGTAAGAATGATGGAGTTTGCTCTGAATCTACCAACAACACTTCTCTGCGCTTCTACTGTGAATGTTCAGAACTGTACACAGGACCAAGCTGTGAGGCTGAAAAGATAGGTAATAAAAATATTTTCAATTTCACTGTCTGCATAACACACACCACTTTCAGAAATGGGTGTCATTACGGAGAAGACTGAGCTTGCTCTTCATTTCCATGCTGCAAATTAGTAACTCAGCAGGTGAGAGCCTGTGGTCATCCAAGCAGAAAGAAGGGGTCAGAACCCCCAGTGCAGAGCTGGTAGTATGCGTGATGGCAGGGGTCTGTAGAACCCTGTCTGACACCCCTCCAGAAAGCCACATTCATCAGAGAACACAGTATAAACCAAGCAGACAGGCAAGGGTTGAGAAAAAATTTCTGTTCACAGTATGGTTAGCTTTCACTGACGGGGCTTGTATTTCTTCTTCAGCTGAAGACCCTCCCACACAGGATTCTAGGGACCATACAATTGCCATCGTCATTGGAGTTGTGGCAGGTGTAGTTGTTATCATCATTCTCATCTCCTCTGCAGTGTACCTGTACAGGTAAGGCTTTTCCCAGCTTTGCTACGTTCAGCACAGTCAAGACACATATGCCCCTTTTAGCACCTGTAAACCTCAAAACTCCCATCAATCAATCACATACCTGCAGGACCAGAAAGGAACCACAGCATTCAGGATTTCATTTGAGGAATGTGAGGGAACACTTAGCTTTTAGACATAAAGGATATAAAGCTACTAAAGGGCATCCAAAGAAGGGCCACAAAGTTGGTGAAGGGCTTAGAGGGGAAGCCATATGAGGAGCAGCTGAAGTCTCTTGGTTTGTTCAGCCTGGAGAAGAGGAGAGTGACGGAAAAGCCCATTGTGGTCTACAGCTTCATCACGGGAGGAAGTGAAGGGGCGGGTGTTGATCTCCTCTCTGGCGACCAATGATAGGACGTGGGGGAATGGCATGAAGATGTGCCAGGGGAGGTTTAGGTTGGATAGTAGGAAAAGGTTTTTCACCCAGAGGGTGGTCGAGCACTGGAATAGGCTTCACAGGGAAGTAGTCACGTTGCCAAGCCTGACAGTATTCAAGAAGCATTTGGACAACGCCCTCAGAAACATGGTGTGAATTTTGGGGTTGTCCCGCACAGAGACAGGAGTTGGACTCAATGATCCTTGTGGGTCCCTTCCAACTCAGGACATTCTGATTCTGTGATTCTATGATTTTCTACAGAATTGAACACATGCCATTTCCTTTACACAGGACATATGCATTACTATCACAAAACTTGAGCTTTTCCAAAATCTGACTTGATTCATGCTCACACCATTGTTTGACCTCTCACTATAGGTAAGAATAGAAATTCAAAATGGTTGTTCTTTTTTTTTTTTTCCATTGTACAGAAGGAAAAGAAAGATGGATATAGCTGCGATATCAAGGGATTCTCCTTTGAAACAGTCCAGGGATGTACTGGATTACAGAGTACATGACCAAGATTATGGCTGCATCGTGAACAATGCATTTGATCAAAATACAGACCTATAGTTAGTAATATTTTTCCAAGTCATTTGTATTTCTTTCTGCTCTTGTTTTTTAATAGTATTTTTAATTCTTTGAGAAGAAATAATAATAAATAAATCATTGCATTTGCTGAAAATCTTTGAAATTGTTCATCTAAAATCTCTCTCAGACCTCATGTTGTAGACCCAAGCTGAAATGCATCCTAACTCATGTAAGAGACTGTGTTGTCTTCAGAAGCTGTTTGAAAAACACAAAGTCCAGACAGAATTTGCCAGCACAAGTGTGCTGCACAGCATCACGTACACACCTCTGACAGGTGTACAAACCGTAGACTGATACGGTCAGAATTAATTATAGCATCCCAGGCAGGTTTTCATGGGATCATCTTACCCAAATCCTTCCATGGGGAGGGAATTAGCTGACTCAGCTGGACACAGTTCTTACTCCTCTTCTGGCAAGGCACGTCCAACTGGGGGCAGAAATACATAAGAAGACACTGAGCTCATCTGGTGACACGTGTAGTAAAAAAGGATGACCCCCATTGCTCCCCTTGGGAGTGCTGGACTGAAAGAAGTGATTGTTTGAAGGAGAACTGCCTCCCTGCTGTCAGGGTGGAGCAGACAAGAAGTAGGGTTGTCATCACCCCCTGCCTGTGGGGCTACACAAGAGCATAACTTAACAAAAACTTTCTGAAGGGTGAGATCACGTCATCACGATCTCCTTGGAGTCTTTGCAAACTCTGAAGCTGCCACACTCTGATGAATGTGGGCAGAGCGCTGCATAGGCTCAGTCACAGACCGTGCTAAGGACATCCCTACAGCCAAAGACCAAAGGTGCTTGTGGCAAGGGCCAACAACACGCAGTGTGTGAGACACCCACCCCATGACACATCACTCGCAAGGCTCAGGGGACCAAGGCACTGCCTGGGCTTTGTCCAATCCCTGAATGAATTTCCAGTGCCATGAGTGAAGCTTTGAGATGTAAGGAATGCACCATTAAGGTTTCTCTGATGCTTTTCCAGTTCTTTGCAGGTTCACTTCTGATTACAGCAAGGAACAGTGTGGGCTTTCTGTTGCTTCTGCCGTAATGCTGGTTATTATTTACTTACCCTTTCTTGTTTCCCTTGTATCCATAAACTCACGTGTGCTGTTAGCCAGAAAACTATTTGTAACCTCTATGAACAGTTAGGTAGATAAAAGGCATTTTATTCTGGTCTGTTCAAGAACACGCCAGCTGTCCATACACGCACAGCACAGCTGTTTTGGAGAGGATAATAATGGAAAGGGGCTTTCAGCCTTGTTACAGAATGAAAATGAATCAGCAAGAGAGACCCACTCGTGCACAAATGAACTGGCAACCTTATGCTGGAATTTCACTGTGATTATAAAAGCATCTTTCCTGCCTGTTCAGCGGCAGCTTCCTATTGCACTCTCACGCTTGCTAACAATGCGATTCTGTGAATGTTGAGCAGTGCTGACCACGCTTGCCTCCCCTTGCAGTCAGTGGGAGCACAGGCCAGTCCCTACCCTGCAGGATCCCAGCCTGGGGTCTCCCAAGCAACAGGGCCCAGCTGTGCCCAGGTTAAGCAGATTTCTGGGTTTCCACGGGGACACTTTTTTTTTTTTTCAATACCACAAGAATTGCCTTGGCTTGCCACTGCAAAGCTTTGCGAATACTTCTCACTTGAAACAGGGCATGATACAGAAAGCAGAATTGCATTTCAGCGCTCCACTAAATTAACTATTTCATGACAATAGAAGCCAGAAAGATGATAAATCTTCTGCTGCTCTGATCTTTTAAATCAACCAGCTTGGTCATGTGGTTTTTGAAATGCTGGACTTTAAATATACTTCTTAGTTCAAGTCACCCAGAAGACAGTTTTGTTGTTAGTGAACCTTCCTTTTCATGATATGGTGCCGGCAATAGCCAAGGAGACAGCCATACCTGCTCAGCTGTGCTCACCTCTCAGCCCAGAGGACTCTTGCTGGGCACAATCATGAGACTCCTCCGATGTCCTGAAGGAAATTCCTGGGCCACAACTTAAAAAGCCATCCTAGAAATCTCTTTGCCCTAAAATGGCCATTGGGATTTACTCTGAGCTCCACCTCCTCTGCTTCTCTTCACCAGCAAAGAAGTGAAACGGCAGCATCCCCTTTCCCTCTCGAAAGGTTTCCTGCT